AAAGGAAACCCTCTTTCCTACACCACTCTTTTAGCCACGTGTTTACTTCCCTGTTCCTCACCTCCTAATGCCAATTTGCGTGTGGCTCGGGCAGCAATCCAGAGATTATGGCCCTTGAAGACCTGTTTTTTAATTTTGTTCCTAGCTTTTCATAATCCCGAAACAGGTCTTTTTTCCTAGTCCTGCCTATGTTGTTGGTACCTACGAGGACCACAACAACTGGATCCTCCCCCTCCCTCTCTAGAATCCTCTCAAGCCGGTCAGAGATGTCTCGCACCCTGGCACCAGGCAGGCAACACACCATGCGCGACTCTCTATCTTGCTTGCAAAGGATACTGTCTATTCCCCTGATGATGAAATCCCCTACAACTACAATCTGTCCTTTAGCTGCCCCTCTTGAATGGCTTCCTGAACCATGGTGCCATGGTCAATTGACTCATCCTTCCTGCAGCCCTGTTCCTCATCCATGCAGGGAGCAAGTGCCTCATACCTATGGGACAATGTCAAGGGCTGTGGCTCCTGTGTTCCTGTCTGCAGGGTCCCTCCACCTGCCTCACTTGCTGTCACACACTGCTGTCCCTGGCCGCTGATCGAATTAACATTAGTTAATCTACTAGGTGTGACTGCTTCCTGGAACACAGCATCCAGATATCTCTCCCCCTCCCAGATTTGCCACAGTCTTTAGAGTTTGGATTCCAGCTCATCAATTTTGAGCCGGAGCTCCTCAAGCAGCTGCAGATGTGGTCACCGCCGTTCTCAATGGGATCAGCTAGCTCCCACATCATACAGCTCCAACACATCACCTGACCTGCCATCTCTACTTAATTATTTAAAATTAATTAGTTTTTTTTAGTTTCGCAGTGTTCTCTCTTTAAGTGTTCTCTGCACCAGTAGGTTTACTCTGTTAGATACTCAAACAGACTCCGGTTTTGCCTTCCGAACCGCTCCCAGAGGATTTGGCGTCTAGGCAACCTCCCCGAAAGATAACAGACATGAGAAAAACAAACAATGCAAATAGTTTACCTGCTCACCACACTTAGTCTTTATTATTAGGTTAAAGGAGGTGGAAGGGTGGGAGACGCTACACGTGTAGTGTCTCAGGTATTAGTTACTTCCCAAATTTATTGGGTGAAAGATAACTGTTACCCAGCTGACCACTCGCGCCCGCTCTGAGACTCCTCCTCCGCTGAACAACTGAAGGCCGCAGTCACGTGAGGTAAGACTTTTATAACGAAAGTTTGCCTTCCCGGCTGCCCGCCGCTGAACAACTGAAAACCTTACCTTCTCGTCGGCCCCTGGCTCACGCTGAAAACAATTTACCATCACAATATATTCAAATTTGTACATAACTACTGTCTAAAAGGAGGCGGTATTAGGAGGGGTAACTAGAAGCTTAGCTGAAGAGTTGGGCTTCAAAACAGATCCTGAAAGGAGAAGAGGAAGCTGGAGAAGTGATGCAGTTTAGGAAAATAATTCCATGGTCTGGGTTCTTAAATGATAGGACCACTGATGCTGCAGGCATGCAGTAATCCAAGAATTGAATTGAATCATTTATTGTCATGTGTATTCAATGTAAAAAATACAATGAAAAGTGTGTACCTTCGCTGAACGTACATGGCACCATTCACATTAACTTAGAATAAGTGAAGTAAAAAAAAAAGATAACTTAAGAGAGTCCAACTTTCCTTTCCACTGCCACAACCCCACTCCAGGCTTTCCAGCCCATGCCATGCCTCCAATCACGGTCCCACTCCAGGCTTTCCAGCCTACACCATGCCTCCAACCACAGAACCACTCCATGCCGCTGCCAGCGTCCCGCTCTGGGCTGCCTCACTGGCCCGATCTCGCCACTGCTGCCTCACCAGCGTGCTCTCACAGGCCCACTCTTGATCTGCCGCCATTACTCCAGCCCACACTCGATTCGCCATCACTGCAGGACACAACCCATGTGTTCAGCTCCAGGCTCATGGTTTCCAGTCACGACCCAGCTCCTTAGGTAGGTAGTTAAAAGGGGTAGGGTAGGGTGGGGGATAGAATTACTGCAGAGGTAGAGAGAATAAGACAGAAAGAAAAGGAAGGACAAAGAAAGAAAGAGAAAGAGAACAGGCGAGCAAAGTGGAGCTCCAAAAGGAGCGATGAAAAAGTGGAGGATCTTTTGGCGGTGTGGTGGGCCAGGGAATAGGGCATATTGTAGAGCTAAAGAAAGTTACAGACAGGAGAGCATTGAAATAGACAAATTTTCAGGTAATAGCAGCACAGGTGAACATTCCAGAAGCAGTTCTGCTAAGGTAGTAATGGAGATAACCAAAGTCACTAGGATGAAAGCAGAAGATCTGTTGTAATGGGGAATCTTTAAGTTCAGATCGAGATCAAATGCAAAGTCAAGGCTGCAAACAGTCTGGTCCAATCCAAGGTTGAGGCAAGAGAGTGAGGAATGAAATGAGTGGAACAGATACAAAGTTTTCGACAGGGTCCAGAGATGATGGCTTCAGTCTTCCCAGTTCTTAATTGGGAAAACTGCTCAAACAAGAACGCTTATCAATTAAGTAGTCTGACAACACAGATGGAATTTGTTTCAAAAGGGGTAGACCAACTAGAGAAAGATACAGAACCCGCATGTATCAATGATGCCATCTGAAGATGCATGCAGATAAGTAAGAGGAGAGGAACTTTGTGGTGCTGTATAGTCATATGAGGAGCTAGAAGAGAACCAATTGCTGAAAATGTTTCAGCTAGAACCAAACTGGCAACAATGAAAGCAAACAAGGGAAATCCTAGTGAATAGGAAATGGGCAGAAAGGTTGTTGACCTTCCCAAGGATATCAAATATTGAAGAGAGTCTAGAAGAAGCATAGTTACAGAATGTCACTTGTGACTTTGATTCAAGTGGTTTCAGTATCGTGCTGGGGCATAAACTAGATTGCTAAGATTCAAAAACAGAGTTGCTAGAAAGATGGGCACAGGTTTGGGAGACAATAATACATTCAAGGACTTCAGGCAGCTGGTGTATTTTCAGAGGTAAGTCTTATGATGGCAAGTTTTAAAAGAAAGCATTAAGGGCCCAAGTGGAAACCATTTGAAATATTAACGAGCAACAGGGACATGAACATCAGCAGTTTCATGGATTGGTTTGGAAAAGGCATGAGAGTGAGATAAAAGAAAAGCTAGAGATGCAGGATCAGGTCTAGGGTGGAGGGAATGTGGAGTTTGAATTGATGGACGACCAATGGAGACACCTGAATGCTCTCAATTTTAATGGCACAGATCATATTCATCTAGCATAAGCTGTCAGCTCAGCATGCCCAAAGTTTTACTTACATTGTGTCTTGGAGAAGATACTTTGTTACTTAGCTTGGATGTGATCTTTGATCATTAACAAGGTTTTACATTAGCTTCAACATACATTGATCATTAACAAGGTTTTACATTAGCTTATTGGCGTATTGCCTGAACAAACATTTAGCTCTGCACTTAGAATACTCCAAAGTTCATGGTACAGTAATTTTAGCACGTTTTGTATTAGAAATTATTCAAAATTTTAGAGTTAATCATTTATACATTTGGTCTAACTGATCACCAAGATCACATTAAAATTGAATGGTTACTCATTTCAAACTTCCATTGTTAGTCTTTTAGACTTTGCTGGTGTTGGCTGAAACTCAAATCTTAGGATTTACTACAATTTTCACCCAGACAAAGATCACATAATCAACATTTTGAAAAGTTAAATCAATTTAACCTGTATTCAAATGCAAAACTAAACACTTCATCCCTTTGACTGCCTCGTAGCGGACAACAAACCAACCATGCTTAATTAGCCCATGCGTGTAAAACTCAGAACAGGGTCCAACATTAAATGTGATAATCTATTGGACAACACTTACAAATAATCTTGACTGCACTAAGAATTACACCACAACTGTAATGTGCATTATGGGACTCATTTGCACATACTAGAGGTTTACATTTATTCACACAAAGGGCCATGTTCTTTGTTGGCAAAAGGAATAAGTCCACACATAGCCTTTGCGCATCAGGAAAAGTGGAATGGAGACAAACAATTCCTGAAACATCCCTATTGTAACACCCTGATCAATCTGAACCAACTTCCCTGACTTGAATTTAGTTAGTTAATTAAGATCGACTCTTAACTATTTCTGCTGCACCTCCATATTAACAAATTAGCACCCTCTGAATTTAGTTTCCTACATGTCAATCATAGAATAGAGTACCTATAATGCAGAAAGAGGCAATTCAGCCCATCGAGTCTGCACTGACCCTCCAAACAGCATCCCATCCAGACCCACACCCTCACCCTATCCCTGTAACCCCGCATTTATCATGGTTAACCCAACTACCCTGTACATCCCTGGACACTATGGGGGAATTTATCACAGCTAATCCATTTAACCAGCACATCTTTGGACTGTGGGAGGAAACCAGCACACCTAATAGAAACCCATGCAGACACAGAGAGAATGTGAAAACTTCATATAAACAGTCACACAAAGCTGGAATCAAACCCGGGTCCCTGAGGTTGTGAGGCAGCAGTCCTGGTGGCTGCAAGATGAAAAACTTCGAATACATGTCTCTTTTTGGCAACATTTAAGTTCTGTACGACTGAACCATTATTTAAAAGTGTACTGACTTCCTCTATTTTCGTTCCCATTCACTGAAGCAACAGAGTAGTTGAATTCTCAGAAACACGTCTCAAATCCTCAAAGCCTTTTTCACCATCCATAACTCTCTCGTCCAAAGACCAAACAGAACCCTCATGTGGATAGATGTGTCCACAACAACATAAGAAGCTCATCATTATCCAGATGGAGCAGTTCACTATATTAGTCAGCCTCCGGCCCCCATTTCCAAACGCTCAGCATACAATGATTGCAGTCGTACAGGCAAAGCTTTCACAGCAGAAATTCACCACATCAGTTTGATCTTCTCCCAACAAAGCATGCTGAATTTAAAATGTTCATTTGAAGATTTACCGATCTTACCTCTTCTGGGACTATGATGAGAGGATACACATCTTCTGAAAGGAAGTTGAAGATACACCAAACTTTAAAAGTATCATCATCACTGATCAGTAAATTGTTGCGGTTCAGATTTTTCTTGACACAGAGAGTCCAGCACATCCTATTGAAGTCAGATTTATCAAAGCTGTTTGGTTGAACCTTTAACATAGGAGGAAGGGCATGGAAGAAAGAAATAAAAACATTTAGGAAGAACTCAGGAAAAGTTGAAGCAAACAAGGTGATTATATTTCTTTAAATTTCTAACTTGTAGTCAAAAAGTTTGATCCTTTATTCAACATTTAAGTTAATAACAATAAGAATGCCTGCTGCCAACCCATACCACCAACAATTCCCCTTTGCAGCATTGGCAGAAACACTAAGCATCACTGCACAGCGACTTGTTACATTCACCATGCATAAGAAAACTCTAATTGCTTCTGTTGCACAATCTTCACCATAGAAACCACTGACTAGTTGGTCAGGAACAAATTCCAAAAGGCTAATTCTATTCAATGTACTTCAAAGCTCTTCTAACCAAGTGTGAGATAAATGACAGAAATTAGTAATGTCACGATATCAGTTATGCAGCCAATTAAAATCTTTAACTGTACAAGGTTGCCCTCCAGACCCACACACAACTGCAGTCCTCAATAAAGTTACACAATTACATTTCAGGTCAGTTAACAGCTAAGTGACGGCTTCTCTCTCTGCAATTTCGGGTCATACCAGCATCACAAAGGCTTTGCAAGTGCTGCAGAAAATCTTTACAAAACCAAATTTTCAGTTTAATTATTTGGCATCCAAGTAATTCAACTTCTGTTATAGAACCACACAGCACTGAAACAGATGCTTCAGTCCAATCAGTCCATGCCGACCGTAATCCCAAACTAAACTAGTCCCCACTGCCTGTGCTTGGCCCATATTCCTTCAAACATTTAAAAGACATTTAGATAAGTACATGAATAAGTAATGTTGTAACTGTATCCACATCCACCACTTCCTCTGGAAGTTTATTCCATACATGAACCACTCTGTAAACAAAATTGCCACTCATATCTTTTATAAATCTTTCTCCTCTCACCTTAAAAATGTGTCCCCTAGACTTGAAATCTTCTACTCTTGGGAAAAGAAAAACACCTGCCATTCATCTTATCTATGCCCCTCATGATTTTATAAACCTCTATAAGGTAACCTCTCAACCTCTTACACTCCAGTGAAAAATGTCCCAGCCTATCCAGCCTCTCCTTGTAACTCAAACCCTCCATTCCTGGCAACATCCTGGTAAATGTTTTCTGAACCCTCTCCAGCTTAATAATATCCTTCCTAAAACAAGGAGGCCAGCAGAGGACACAGTACTCCAGAAGAGGCCTCACCAATGTCCTGTACAAGCTCAATATAAATGTCCCAAATCCTATACTCAAAGGTCTCAGCAATGAAGGCAAGCATGCTAAACGACTTCTGGACAACCCTATCTATGTGATGCAAACTTCAAAGAATTACGCACCTGAACCCCTAGGTCTCTCTGTTCCACAACGCTAACCAAGGCCCTGCTTCTAATTGTATAAGTCTTGCCTTTGTTTGTTTTACCAAAATGCAACACCTCACATTTACCCAAATTAAAGTCCATTTGCTACTCTTCAGCCCATTGATCTGATTGATAAAGATCTCTTTGCAATCTTAGATAACCTTTTTCACTGTCTACTATACCACCAGTCTTGGGTCATCCACAAACTCACTAACCATGCTTTCTGTATTCTTATTTAAATTATTTATATAAATGACAAACAAAAGTGGACCCAGCACCGACCCTGTGGAACACGACTGGTTACAGGCCTCCAGTCTAAGAAACAACCCTCCACCACCACCCTTTGTCTTCTGCCCCAGGGTGAGGGGTCAACCCTTTAGAACTGAGATGAGGAGGAATTTCTTCAGCCAGAGTTTGGTGACTTTGTGGAACTCATTGCCGCAGAGGGCTGTGGAGGACAAGTCATTGAGTGTATTTAAGACAGAGAAAGATAGGTTCTTGGTTGGCAAGGGGAATAAGGGTTACAGGGAGAAGGCAGGAGAATGGGGTTGAGAAACATATCAGCCATGAGCAAATGGCGGAGCAGGTTTGATGGGCAGAATGGCCAAATTCTGCTCCTATATTTTATAGTATAGGATTCACAGAAGATTGCAATTTTAAAAGGTGCGCATTTCTAATCTTTCTAAAAACATCATACGAATACAAATGAAACCATTCAGTTTACGGGCTATCACAGCACTTGTCAGCATCAATCCTTGAAAAACTGCACTCTCAACCCACGAGAACCCTCCTTTAGACACTCCCAGGAAAGCTCAAGCACAAACAGGCCTCTTTTTAGGCTCAATTGTAAAGTCACAGGCAATAGGTGCCTGGTTCGGATTAGATGGAATTGGTTCAACCTATTGTGCTTTATCTACCTTATTCTCTTGTCAGATAAAACAGACTTAAATGTCTCTGTGCAAGTGCACCAACTTCACACACTTGACTATGTTTTAATATTTGCAAACAGCCTGAGAAATACGTTTTCTTAAGTTAACTAAAATAAAGAAAATTTATATACATTCCATCAAACAAAAAAAGGCAAAAAATCCCAAAAAACACAAAATGTTTGTATTTGAATTAAATGGTTTTCCCCTCCCTTGGTGAAATACCCAGCGATCATTATCGGGTATATCTGTATTTAGGACTGTGGGCAGAATAATGACCAGTCAAGAGCCAGTGACAGTATTTTCACCCAAGTTAGAAAGCCGTGGGTAGAACTGTTACTCTCGAAGAATTGAGCAAGACTAGTATCTCTGTGCAGTACTGACTGGGACATTATCGTGAGTGCCATCTTCTCAATGCGATCTTATACTGAGGTCCATCCTGCAATCTCAAGCGTGTCTACTTACAAACGAGCAGGGCATCCTCCTAGTATCTGGCCAACACATGAACTTCCTGTCTACAAACTGGCTGCCATACTTCCCTATAACTTCCCTAAGATTTCAGAAGTACCCGATTGGACCATGCTGACTGGACAGAGAATTGCAATTTCGAATATACACCAGGACAATGAGCCTTGGTGGACCAATCTGTTATGACCCTAAATTATGCCTATTTCCTGTTCCAGTTAGATATGTCCATATATAAACTAGCCTTCAACTAACATCAGAAAAGACTGTGAGGCCATTGTAGCTGCCCATCCAGACAACAGCACAACCTTTTGCATTGTTAACTTGCCGTGTAACCTATTGAATTATCCTCTAACCATGCCACCTTCTATGAGAAACAATTAAAAAACTGTGACTGTTTCAGAGGAAACTTTGGACAGTGCCAAATTTCAATCAAGAATGAGAGAACAATGCAGTTGTTGATTCCTCACAAATACTCTCCTGGAGAGTCCTGCATGGTACGTTGTCTTCCTCATTCATGCCAGAGTGTGGAGAGGGTGCAGAATATTGTGTAGGGGTGGGGAAAGCAGCAAGCAAGCTAAAAGGAGGAGAGGCAATGGCTTCATGGTATTTTCGTTGACTATTAATCCAGAAAGTCAATTAATATCTTAGGACTTGGCTTCAAATTGCACCATGGCAGAATCTGAATTAAGGATCTAATGATAACTATGAAACCATCGTCGATTGTTGGAAAATCCCAACTGGTTCACTAATCTCCTATAGAGATGGAAACTACCATCTTTACCTGATCTTGCTTACATATGACTCCAGACCCACAGCAATGTGGTTGACTCTTAGGGATGGTCAATAAATGCTGGCCTAGACAGAGATGCCCACTTTCTGTGAGTGCATTAAAAAAATAGTTTTGGTACACATTAGTAACAACAATGGGGAGGGTAGATATTGAGGTCCAATTTCTGATTTTCTGAATTAAGGGAAGTGTTAAATAGTAGGACCAGAACTGCACACTAGTGACAATATCAACTAAAAGATGGGGAGAATCACAAAGTATGACAAGATGCAGAGGTGGAGGGTGTTCAGATTCTTGCGGCAGTAGAAGCTTCTCTGGAAAGGATTCAAAATCAAATGCAGAAGGGATTGTACCTCAACAGGAATAGAACCAATGACTTCATAGGGAGGGTGACAGGTCTGGTTCGGAAAGGTTAAATTAGTGGACATTCAGCATAAGTAAGTAGAAAAGAGTAAATCAAAAAAAAGGAGAATGATGGATAATACTAGAGGAGAGTGTGGTATATATTAAGTAGGAGCTTAATGATATAAAAATGATTATGAGAAACGCAAATAAAGGCTTAGAATGCAAATAAAGGCTGAGAACACAAGTATCTAAATTCAAAGTGTGGTGAATAAGATTGGTTAAATCAAGCACAAATAGCCCCTAACTTCTTGATTGATTTGAGATAGATTGTAGAAGTACTCCGTCTACTTTTATTGATCTTGCCACTTTAAATAATCCATCAGTAAATTGTAATCAACCTACCCAACCTTCAAAGACAGCCATCCCCTCAAAACTTCATGTAAGTAAATTTTACTCTTAAGAGTCTGTCCTCACAAGATTTAGAGTAATCCTAGTTGCCCCATCGTGCCCTCTCTAACAAGTAAATTCTTGTTTATTTTTAACATTGCTAAGATCAATCATTACTCCTCTAATTTTCCTTCCTGCATCCATCCAACCTTAAAACAGAGCCTCTTACACGCTTCATCCTTCTAAAATCTCTACACATCAAAATCAAGACTTGCTAAAACACTCTCCTACTCTGGTGCAATGGGGCAACTAGGATTATTCTAATTCCCGTGAGGATAGACCCTAAGAATACAATTTATTTACTTCAAGCTTCGAGAGGATGGCTGTCTTTGAAGGTTGGGTAGGTTGGTTACAATCCACTTTGATGGATTATTTAAAGTGGCAAGTTCAATAAAAAATTTTCTGGAATGACAGAAATTGCTAATGTTTATCTTCCTGCCTATTATGGTTTTCAGAGTTTTAAAAGTCAGGATTAGAATCACCTAATCAACTACTTCCTCACTTAACTCAGCTTTTATCTTGTCCTTTGCTTTTTGTGGTAGTGATCATGAATGTTCAATATGATTTTTGCATTTGAAAAATAAACTGAAGTTTTGTTTTAACCCACAAAAATATCAAATACTTTGAAGAATGACATTAAAAATTCTCTATTATTTTAAAATGAATTGCCCATTAATATGCTTTTTCAAAAACAGTGGACCATGAAGATTGAATGTTCATGTTTATTGGCTTGATACAGACTTATTTGTGGTGAGTGACATCTGCATGTTGTGTAAGGACTACTTTGGTTTACTTCATGAATACAGTTCAATTCTTGGTGCAAAAAAGATATGAAAGGAGTTTTAAACAAATTATTCAATTCATGAAAAACTGGTATTATTTGATAATTGGGAAAATGATGCAGGGATAACAAGTTAATAAATTATTGAGGTTCTTGGATTTTTAAATTATAAAGTTTTTTTTATTTTAAATGAAAATATAGCACATAAACAATGTTTGTCAAATTTTAAAACATAGGAGTTTCAATTCTTTGTATCTTTGTTCAAGTTTAAAATATTAAAAGCTTTTGTCTGCTTTAACAAATGCAAATGACTTGTTTATTTAACGATGCAATAAACTGCCTGCCCTTTAACAAGGCATTCCTTGTTTGTAGAGGGCAATTATGGAGAACTGCCCAGATCTCTGGTTTCAGCTGGGTGTGTGGTAGAAAAGGAAAAATGTGTTTCCTGAAGTTTACATAAAGCAAGTACAGAAATATTCTTGTGGTCATTACACAAACAACTAAGAAAAAAGTAATGTGCAGAATCAAAATGTGAGTCAAGGGAGGGGAAGTTGCACAAACTCTAAGCATACTCACTCTTCTAAATCTCATTGTGGTAGTTTCAATTGTGAGACTTAAAAAAAAGTTCATCCACCATTTTAAGAAATCTGCTTCCTCTGTTTTCATTTCTTCCCCCCAAAAAAGGGTAATAATTCTGTTAAAAGAATGTCAACCTGAAAAATCAACTTTATCTTTCTCCATAGACCTGTGTGACCTGCTGTCTATGTTCAGCATTTTGGGGTTCTTTTCGGATTTCCGGAATCCACAGTATTTTATGTTACAATTATGATGGCAATATAACCAGAATTTGAATTCTTCCTGGACATGTTTTAGCATACAGTAAATGTGAAAGCATGTTGTGAGGCATGTTGCTTCTTGAATTTAGGCTGAGATTGACAAAGTGAATTTTGCTCATTGTTACTTTTCATCAGCTGTGGCATGTACAGGGTTAAGGATCGGGTTTGCTCACAGAAAGAAGTAGTTAAACATAACTAGCACTTTTCACCTTGGAACATCCCAAAATGAATCAAAGCAATTAAGCAGTTTTGGAAATGTAAAAGCATTCATCATAAAGGAAAACTGTAGCAGACAACCTGTCCTTAGCACCATGCCACTAAAACAGTAATGAGTAAATGACCAGCTAATCTGTTTTTATCCATGCACGAACCAGGAGGGCTCTCTTGCTCTTTGTCAAATGCGTCCACTTCAGAGGTTGACAGACCTCAGTTTTACATGTCACCTGGCAGAGGGCATCCCTAACATCTAACTCAGAAATAAGGATACTACTTTCAAGCTATGCTCAGATCAACAGGTATTAATTTTACTACAAAAGCTGCTACTCTGTGCAATGAATTGTTAAACTATAATTGCAACATAAAAGAGAGCATCACAGTTTGGGTTAAATATCAATTTATCAAGAAAAGATACCTTATCCAAGATAAATCTGTTCAAATACGGCATGTATCCCTGGTTAGAAACTGGTCCTTCATCATCGTCCTTAAAATGGTTTTCCAAAGCCACTGGATTATGAGGTACTTGCAACACTGTGCAAAGACTGTGAGAAAGAACCTGTTTCAACAGAATGTAAAACAAGTTAGCAAGGTCTGTATTATAAAGACTTGCAATCTCAAACGTTCACAAAAAAAGTCTGACTAGATGAAGTAAATTTTTTGAAATATATCTAACTTCAAGATAAAACTTGCATTAATGCAGCACTCTGCATGTCCTCAGGATTGTCCAGGCCAGGAGAAAGGAACACCAAAAAAATCCAGCAGCAGAAAGAGAACTCAAACTTTTTTAGCTGCAGCAAAAGACAGAGCTGTATCTAGCAGCTTCAACAAATGGAAGCAAAACTACACCCCTGGGTCTGTAAGAGCCTGACTCCATCCACTCATGCTTCTTTAGTCTATTTTTTTTTAAAAAAGCACACTCAGGCAGCTCACAGCTGTTTACCCACTTTTTCTGAAGCAGACATTCCATCACTGGCAATACCCCCCTGCAGGAGAAACAGGACGGAACAAATCCCTCTCAAAAACATAGTACTGTCATCTCTTGACCTTTGGCATTCTTGCAAATTGTCCTAATGAGTATGCTAGGCAAAAAGCAATAATCAAGTTGTGTACTACCAAATACTGGTTTAATTGTTGGAGGACAATAATTTAAGCCTCAGGACATAGCTATTTTTTTTTGTCAGGAGTGCCCTGGACACATCAACGTCACAAATGCTGCTTAACCAATCCGTCTAGAGGTCAAAAGTAGGTTATGGACTGAAGATTAGTGTTTAATTCCACTCACAACTCAGATACTGACGCAGTCCTTATCTGCATGCAATAAAACCTGGGCACTATTTAGGTTTTGACTGATTGGTGGCAAGTAACATTTGTACGATACAAATGCCAGGCAATGGCCATATCCAACAAGAAAGAATCTAATCATTCCTCATTGACATTCAATGGCATTATTACCATCATTGAATCCCCAACTGTCAATATATAGTGGCTACAAGAGTAGGTCAGAGGCTGATAATTCCATGGTATGTCCCTCACCTCCCCACTCCCAAAAGCCTTTCCACCATCTACAAGTCAGGATCTTCACAGTTTGGACGAGTGCAGTCAAAACAGCAATAAGCAAGCTCAAGACAATCGAGGCAATGTGATCTGCTGAATAGTATCCCATTCAGCACCTTAAAAACATTCTGCTCCTCCTCATGAGGGGCACTGATACGGTGATAGCAAAGGTCTTTTCCCTAGGGTAGGGGAGTTCAAAACTAGAAGGCATAATTTTAAGGTGAGAGGAGTAAGATTTAAAAGGGACCCGAGAGGTAACTTTTTCATACAGAGGGTGGCTCATATGTGGAATGAACTGTCAAAGGAAGCGGTAGATACAGTTACAACATTTAAAGGTCATTTGGACAGGTAGATGAGGTAAAGTTTTAGAGAGATATGGACCAAATGCAGGCAAGTGGGACTAGCTTAGTTTGGGAAACCTGGTCGGCATGGACAAGTTGGACCAAAGGGTCTGTTTCCGTGCTGTATGACTCTATAATAGACACACCCTGGTTGGAAGATGGGCTATACACAGCATATCGCAGCAACTCACCAAGTTCCTTTCAAAACTTCTATTGCCCATCATCATCACCTGCATCTTTTAAAGAGAGACCATCCTGGTTTGGAGAATATTTCACTATTCTTTCACTTTTTGTCAGTTAGAACCTTGGAACTCCTTCCCTAACAGCACTGTGGGTGTAGCTACACCACATGGACTGCAGAGGTTAATAACATGGTTCACCACAACCTTCTCAAAGGAAATTGGGGAATATCTGCCAAACTTGCCAGCAACACGCAGATCCCAGTGACAAATTTTTAAAAGTCTGTGTTCAGCAAGATCAAGTAATTGGCAACTGAATGGAACGAGCAGATAATGGTGGCCTAGCTTGATGGAAGACTGTTAGCCAGAATATTGGTAGAACTCCTTCCTCATCACTGGAAAGTACCATGTGATCATTTACAGAACCTAGGATGATAAATAGAGCCTTTGGTTTCTTTATTCATTCACGGGATGAGGGTGTCACTGGCTAGGCAGCATTTATTGCCCATCCTTAATTGCCCAGAGGGCAGTTAAGAGTCAACCACATTGCTGGAGTCACATGTCAGCCAGACCAGGTAAGGATGGCAGTTTCCTTCTCTAAAGGATGTAAGTGAACCAGATGGGTTTTTCCTGACAATTGACAATGGATTCACAGACATCATTAGACTCTTAATCCCAGATATTTATTGAATTCAAATTCCACCATCTGCCATGGTGGGATTTGAACCCAGATCCCCACAGCATTATTTGGGTCACTGAATTAGCAGTCCAGCGATAATACCACTAGGCTATCACCTCCCCCCAATAACATTGTTAACATGTCACTTCATAGGTGGCACCCCCAACAAACACATAGCACTCTATCAGGGCTGCAAACACAAGAGTAGAATACCTGCTCATTGCTTTGGTGGGACTTAAAACGACAAGCTATTGACTCAGTCAAAACTTCACAGTCAACAATATTTTATGAACAAAATTATTTCAAAAATAGAGAACAGTAATAACAACTTACCAGAATGCCGCATTCTGACATGTACAAAAACACCTTATCTTTAATAACAGCATCAGATTTTAAAACAAACATATAGTTAAACAATAATACCTGTGGGAGTAGAAGTTTAAAAAAAGTTGGAAAGAATGCAAGTGGCTATTTATAGACACAGAGACAAAACCTGAAATACTTCTGTCTACAAACAAATCTTTATGTGAAACTACATTTTGTGGATTCTTGATGATTATCTACATTTACTGCAGCTAAAGTCCATTTTATTAACTGGGAAACTTTAAACATTTGACGTAGAAACGTAGACTGGAAAATATCAGGAAAATATTAGACTAGAACATAATGTAGTCCCAAAGATTCCCAATCTCTTATTCCCCAAAAATTCTATCGAATTTCACCTGAACCTTTTCCGCATTCTCTGCTACTTCACCTTCCTGTTCATTCTAGTTCTCATATTTATTATGCTGAGCAGAAATAGTTGCATTTAATCTTACTGCTCTGCTGGCTTGGCAGCTTGTTGCAACCTCAAGTATATCACCAATCTGTTCCCTTTTATAAGAATATTTGGATATCTCTCCTGTAACTTTTCTACTGCAAAGTTTGTAAGGATTAAGACAAAAAGCATAAAAGCACTTTTTAATTATTGGATAAAATTCTGAAGAGCAACTAGATGTTTATAGACCCCTGATCTGCCACCAGAAATAGTGACACTGAAGCTGAGAGGGAGGTGAACAGGATATCAAGCACAGAAAAACAAACCAAACCAAATACTGTTCCGTATTAGATTAGATTCTGGAACAAAAGGATTCACACCACAAAAGTGTGCAGTCTTACAGAATTTAAAAAATAATGCTCAGAGCACAAATTATCCAAATAATTTTTATTAGATTAATAGCAAATCATTAAAGCAAGGAGGTGCGGAGTATGAGGTGACTGGTACAGGACCATACCAACTAGGATTCCTATACCCTGCTAACAATATGAAAATACCTATCTGGGCACGTTTGGGCACTTCTATAATGTGGTTCTAATGCTGAATACCCAGTTATCACATAGTTGAGACGTACATGGAGATTGTCACATTGGATGAAGCATCAAAAACATGTAGAAATACATGTATAGTAGCAAGAGTTGAGGGCGGCATGGTGGCACTGCTGTCCCTTTCAGGACCAGGGACCCGGGTTCGATTCCAGCCTTGGGTGACTGGATTTTGCACATTCTCCCTGTGTCTGCGTGCGTTTCCTCCCACAGTCCAAAGATGTGCAGGTTTGCTGGATTGGCCGTGATAAACTGTCCGTAGTGTCTAGGGTGGGAAATGCAGGAATAGGGTAGGGGGTGGGTCTGGGTGGGATGCTGTTTGGAGGGTTGGTGTGAACTAGATGGGCTGAATGGTCTGCTTCCACACTGCAGGGATTCTAAGATTCAGTGCTTTCACTGGGATGGGTGGGGGCAGGAGTGTTGGAGAGCAAATTACAGGCTGGCCTTCAATATACTGGCCCAGATTTCACATTGCAACCATGTATTGTTGCCTGAAGTACACAAGTTTTTTGAAAACTTCTATCCAAGTTAGTCTGCTCTTCCACACACAGTGTTATAAAAGGACTTTGAATTCAACACTGAGTCCATCAAGAAAATATGGACGGCAAATGAAACAACTAAATAAAAACTAAAAACTCACTAAATATGTCAGAAAAAATCAGAGTCGGTGCATTCAGGCAAGCAAATTTAACTGTTTGATAGATTATAATTACAACAAACAATCCCTCTGAAAATTTAACTTTACAAGCATTGAATCTCATTGCTTTAATGCTAAAAGCTTTGAATTTTTTGTTTTGTGTGTTGCTTTTACCTCTCTTAATTCTATGTTTCTTCCCTGACCTTTGTTTTACTTTACTAAACAAGTGGTTCCCAAAGTGGAGTACACACATTGCTGGACGTGCAATGGATGTCTCTAGGGGGTACGTTTATCTTAAGCGTGTAATGGTGCACTTTCAGAAAGAAGAGTTTCTTACTGGCTCCAGCTGCTCCTGGTCCCAACTGTCTCAGATGTGCCTCCACTCAACTACGTGCTGCTCCTCCGGCCACAGATAGCTCTCTCCTACATTTCTACTAAGATCAGAAATCACATGACACCAGGTTATAGTTCAACAGGTTTATTTGAAAACACAAGCTTTCGGAGCCTCACTCCTTTCTCAGGTGTTAGTCACTGCTAAAAGGCACAGCTGCCGCTTACCAGTTAATTGATTGGAGACGTGATTGGAGACACAGTGGGAAGTGAAAGCATATGAGCCCGAGCACCAGCGCAGTGGTTTGACCACAAGAGTCTGCCTCTGAAAGACTGAGTGGGAGAGGCAGCTGTGTGACCCACAGGTCAGATGATGTCTGGATTCACATGTCTGTTTGACTGGGGGGATCACCCTGGTGGAGTGTCTCATAAAGGTACACAACGAGTGAGTGTAAGTATGGGTTTTGGAACAAG